TAGGTGACTTGATGTCTTCTTAACTCCGAGATATCTTCCTGCTAAATTATCATGGGATTGATGCAGCACAACCTCCCGTAACTTTCTCGGGATAACTGTTTGCCAGGTCATCACTATTCCATCTGCAGTTTCCCATTTCCGGACAAGAATACCATCTTCGAGCTTCAACTGGTCCCATTGTGCCCAATAGTTCTTTGTCACAGGGCTTAAGCTAGACACCTTCTCCCAAGCAGGGTGCAAAACATTTGCTTTTAGAAAATCAATTATTGGCTTCAAATCTTGATCTTTCTCCTGCTCTGCTTTAATATCTATACCTGTTTCCACTTCATCATCATCAACTCCTTCAGTCACTTTGACTTCAGCTTGATGACACCTGCCTAGTTCAACCTCTCTTTTAACACTTATTGGAATCTGGCCTTTGTTGTTCCCAAACTTCATTTTATCAGCATTAATTACACACTTCCTCAGTAGTAAGTAATCCAACCCTAGTATGCATAGGTCTTCAATGTCAGCCAAGTATACTTTGTGTCTGTTTTTCATGCTTATGAGCTCAATAGTTACCCACACTGGTCTCCACAACCTTGCATAATGTCCTGTCACTCCACAAAGCTTCTGTATGGCTTCTGGTACTTCTTTGTGATCTAGCATCTTGATACTCACAAGGGTTAGCTGAGATGCAGAATCTATGACAAAGTTACACTTTTGTCCATCCAGCTTTCCTGTCACATAGACACTATGTGTGCTTGGCATTTTACATTTACCTGTTGGGATTTTCACAATGAGGGTTGGTAGGTGTCCATCAACACGAACCACTACTGGTTTCCTTGAGGCTGACTTATTGGTAGTATTCTTCTTACACTGGCTCCTCATATGTCCTAGCTCTCCACAGATCCAACAACCTTTCTTGGTAGCAGCTTTTCCTGCCGTGGCATCTTCCCTGTGTTGAAGTTGCCAGCATTAAGCTTACTTGTGCCCAGGTTTGTTACAGTTCCAGCAAAGTCCCTCAAACTTTTCCAAAAGCTGCCCTCTTCTGGCCTTGAATCCTGGTGAATGTACCAACCTTGGTACCTCTGTGCTGAACTTATCATAGGATTCGAATTCAAGAGCTCTAGCCATTGCATGTTGTATAGTAGAGGGGTGTGCTTGTTTTACTTGTATCTTCAGTTGTGGGCTGTCCAAGGCATCTACAAACTGATCCCTCAGCAACAACTTGAGGACATCAGGTGGTGCAGTTTGGTAGACTTTGTGTACCATACTTCCAAACCCTCTGACAGCTTTTGCAGGCTCTCCCCTTTAGCACGGACTCTCGTTCTAAACCTAGCCCTGTTGACTTTGGACTGATTTTGAGTTCCATACCTGAGTTTTAGAGCAGCTACCAGTTCTCTATACTTGTACCTGTCGTTTGGTGACTGTCCAAATATTTCTAGTGGTTGTCCCTTCAGGCTCGTTGCGAGGTACACTGCTTTCTGCTCCTCTGTCCATCCATTCATTTCTGCGAGTAGCTCAAATTTTGCTCTATATGCTTCCCATGGTGCTTTCCCTTCGAATTCCTGTTGCTTCCTTCGTACTAGATCGCCTCTATTTGCTGACACTCGTGTCTGGAATGTGACATCTAGCAGGACTGAAGATGTCTGCATTGAAGTTTAGCTGTGGGGTCTGGAAGAAGCTTCTTGTTGTCTGTGGCTCAGGTCCATGGTTAATCTATTCTCCCTGTGTAAAGGACAATAAATTGTCCTTTAATGTATTTAATTCACTTTGAAATTTACTAATATTTTCCATTTGTGTATGTTATCTTTCTCTCAATTATTGGAGACTTTCTTCTTGTTTATTTTCTTTCTCCTCCAACCACTGCTGTAGTCTCTCTTCTTGTTCATTTTCTTTCTCCTCCAACGACTGCTGTAGTCTCTCTTCTTGTTCATTTTCTTTCTCCTCCAACCACTGCCGTAGTCTCTCTTCTTGTTTATTTTCTTTCTCCTCCAACCACTGCTGTAATCTCTCTTCTTGTTTCTTTTCTCGTTTTTCTTGTTTCTTTTCTTTTTCCTCCAACAACTGCTGTAGTCTCTCTTGTTTATTTTGCTGTTTAAGCTGCCACTGTTGCAAGTTTTCTTGCCGCTACTGCTGTCTCTCTTCGTTTTCGTTTTTGTTTCTTTTGCCGTTCTTGTATTGCTGCCATCAAATCTGCTACACTTTAGTTTGATTTGACACTTCTCGTTTCCATATTTTTTCTTTTTCTTTTCTATCCCACTTCTGACACCAATTTGTTAGATATCTTTCTTGTTTGATAATTTCCCATAGAAATTCTTTCCGAGAAACTTCAGCGATACAAGTCTTTTCTTAATTAAAACTAGTTTATTCTTTCTCGTTACAAACTTTGTAATACACTTAATTTCCCCAATCACTTTAAACTTAACTACTTTTATATTCACACACACGCTATAATTCACAGCGATTCACACAGTTTACTTACGGTACCTATTGCTCGCTTGACTCGATTATCTATCTGCCCGTATATACTAAAAAAAGAGGGCGTCTAGCAAACGCTGGGACATTCATGAGGTTGCTCGCTAAGTCACAATCCTTCTAGAAACTCCAGCGCGCATGCTCCCAGCGTCGCGCGATTTCCGTTGTCGTAACAATACTAAAAGTCCAAATTAAAATGTAATATTGACTGAATTATAATTGGGCAGAGGTTCAGCTAGGTTAAAAGTTGATGTAAAGAAAACATAGTTAAGGCCAGAAACTACGACCTCAGGTACTGGTCAAGTGAGACATGCACAAGTTTAATGTGTTCTCTTAGCCAACCTCTCTCATAGAACCAGCTGGATGTTATGTAGTCAGTGTCCAGTTCTAGTAGGAAATAATGGAATGGAAACTATGATATACTCCTACATAGTCGAGATGACTAGAGCCATATGGCACTAACCTCATCTATGACCATTAGACTTTGCCAATGCTTTCATTGCCTTTTTTACACAAAGGCTATAAGCAGCGATAGACTAGAAGGAAGTCCACACTACTCACCGTCAACTCTTGGGCTATTCTTTTAGCTAGCCGTCCCTAATTTAGCAGTGTAAGACAAGAGGGAAGACAGCTAGTCATCACCACCAACTCCTGGGCTACTCTTTTACCAACGAATAGTGGGATTAACCGTCACAATATAACGCCCCAACGGCTGAAAGGGCAAGCATGTTCGGTGACAAGAATTCGAACCCGCGACACTCAGATTGTGAGTCTAGCGCCTTAACCATCAAGTAACTTAAACACCAACAACAAATATTCTATAGACATAAAGAATTAGGTTAATTAAAGAGTGAATAAAAAAGGAATAAATAAGATCACATTTATAAGTAACATATAAATTTTCAAATATTGTGAAAATCAATGCATGAATGAAACAAAGAGCGTGTCATAAAGCAATTAACAGATATAAACTGCAAAAACGAAATAATTTTAAATAAAAATATGCTGAAATAAAATTGGTCAAAACTAGTGCCCAAACGTTATTAAAGATATAACACGATTGCGCATGAGTTGGAATATAGACCGTTAAAGCTTATTCAGGAGCATGGTGGATGTGCTATCGTAGTGGGAATTCGATGGAAACTGACTACTTTAAAAAATTTCGCTGAACCGTGAACGTGTTCAATTTATTTCGCTTCCGTGTGGCTTGTTTTACAAAAGGTATTTGAATAGTTGTCAATGCTTCAGTAAGTTAGTTTCACAAAATTGTATTGTTTATACTGTTTTTTTTTAAACTGAGATACTATACAAATGCAATCATAAATTACGATTAGTGGTTCTAACTTCCACTGTTCCAGTACGACTACTACCAGTACCAGGACTGGTGCTACTATTTTATAGTATGTTTACTTTTATTTAGTTAGGCCTAAGTATGTACATGGAAGGTCACCTGTTCGCCATTTTTCACATTTCTGTTTATAATTTATAATATGTCTACAGGATATGGGTATAAGTTTTGTTCAAATAATAATATTACATTTATAATAAGGAAAATTGAAAGAAAAACGGAAGCGTGTGACTTTCAAGATAAACGAAATTGGGAAGTTGTCATGCGCTCTTTTTTTTTTATATGTATAGTTTTGTAATTTTGTATACATTACTTGATAAAAGTTTTAAAACTAAACAGGTTGATATTGTGAATGTATTCTTTGCGAGAAAAACATAAATTTATTATTTGTTAATATAATTTATTGTAGTTGGCGCCATTTGTAAATTAGCCTGTACGATGTATTCCTTAAACTTGTTTACATAGTAATTATAAATTATAGTTGTACTTGTAGTAATTCTAAAATGTAATAGTATTAATAGTTTATTAGTGCTACCTTAACGATAAGATTGACAGTTATAAAGTATATTTAACCTTAAAGTAAAACACGTTTTAAATTAGTATTAATTATCATCAGGTAACATAGTCAAATCTATATGACACTATGCTTTTCAAATGTATATTATAACAGTAATACTACTAGTACTAGTAATGTTAATATATGCATAAACATCAAACAACGAATAGCTTATTCAGATGACGTACAATGAATGTAATAACAGAACCAATGATGTCTGTGCTTTAGTAGCGTATTATCAGAAATACTTTGTAGAATGCCACTGACTAGTTAACTTCTGAAATTACTTAACAGAGCTGCCGAGTCATCTTATCTTACTCAGATTTGTTTGTGGTAACATACAGATATAGTTTTATATTTCATTTGACATGTATCAAATGACATTATAACATGATCAAACTGTAAACCTGACTTCAAATCCATATTGTTAATTGCATCAACTTATGCGATATTACTATAACTGGTGCTTGAGTGCTTGCTCTTAAATTTCTTTTTATTATTTATTTATGGAATATTCATAAATTTAAATTTTTAGAAATCTCAACCAATTCAAAAATTGTTTGTGATAAAGGTTTAAAACCTTTCCAGTATGATAATTAGAAATTAGCTAAGTTAGCTTTTACATTTAGTATCATAACAATGTTAAAACATGTGGGAAAGAAGAATTTGTAATATTTGTGTAGTGTCATTAGGATTTGTGGTTAGACTACACATTTAAAAAAAAAAGTTATAGTACATGAATTGTTATTGCTTACCCACATTAAAAATGGGTTACATAACTAAATTACTTATGGTTGTGGGCTCTACTATGTGGACTGTGTGTGTGTTTCGTCACCATTATCAGTATTTTCCAGACCTAAAGTATTCCATAGGGCAACTGCGAAGACCAGTCTTCAGCTTCTATTCTTTCTAAGTCTTTATTTCTTGTATTCTTCTCTGTTAGGATCCTTTCTTTTTCATTCACCACATTCAAGAAGGAAAGAATATATATATATATTTTTTTTTTGAATGAAGTTTGTAATGTTGATTTCAAATATATAAATTAAAATTTGGAGAAATGAAATAAAAAATTTTATATTTTTTATTTTGCTTACAAAACAAAGGAAGTACTTTTAGCACTACAATATATATATATATGTATTTAAAAGAACTGCAAAACATCAAGAAAATACAAAGTATCTAGTGACAGTGTAACAAATTCAATGTGAAAATTCAGAAATATTCTTAAATATTTGCTTGAAGAGATCATCATTTTCATGCCTACGATGCCTGACGAACTTATGTTTCTTAATCACACTCCAAGTACTTTCAATTTGCTGCAGATTTCAGAAATATGAATTAAAATTTGAAGAATTGATTTTTGAAATGAGAAAATATTTTAATTTTTTTAATGACATTTATTGTTTATTTAAATAAATTATTTAATTAGTTATTTACTAATTAGTTCTACTTGATCTAATCTCAGATAAACTGATATAACCTAGCAAAAAAAATTTCTTTTCATTTCTTCAAATTTTAATTTATATTTTTGAAATCAGCATTAAAAACTACATTATAAGATATATATTATTTTCTATTTGTATGTGGTGCATGAAACAGAAAAGGTCCCCCTATTGTTCTATAGCAAGTATCTTTCAGTCTTCCTCTGTTTTTCTTCCCGTTGGCTTCTAGCCCATTGCTTGTCTTGGCAGTCTATTCTCTTTCATTCTAAGAGCATAGTATCTGTATCTATAGAACTTGAGTTTTTCACTTCTTTCTCTCTCACTGTCTCACTTGTATGATTAAACCACCTGATCCTCATTATCTTCTCTTAAACAATTACTATTTGTGTGTGTGTGTGTGTGTGTGTGTGTAGTATATATATATATATA